TTATTTATTAAAATGAGTACTGTAAAGAACTGGGATCTTATCCTCGAAAATGCACTTAGCTCAGGGATAAGGAATTCAAACTGTTCAGGAACAAAAACATCAAGAAACTAATCTGAACAAAGCTGGTTTTCCTCTGACCTCCAGCTTTACAAGTTGGCATTTGTAATGCATGCATCTTTCTTCAAAGGTCCGTCTTCTCTGCTGATTCTGTGTTTGTTTATTTGAACTGTTTGAATTTCAATAGTTATTTATTTCTGCATGTAGTGGGTTCGGGTTTTTTGTCACCCATGATATGTTATGACAAATCCACTTAGTTGATTAGACATGTCCCAGCTCTTTAGTTTAGGAAGAGCTACATAGTCCCAATGCCAGCACAGTGCAGGCTGGTGTAATCCATCTGTTGCAGTGTGTCGCTGACTGGGAGATTAGCTCACATCCACCAAATAAAGTTCATGACTTCAGGCAGGGCAATACACTGCACTGTTTCTGTTTCAGGGCTTGCTTGTTCAGTGCTATACTGGGGATCTGTGCATTATGTTTCCTTGTGGTTGTAGGAAGAAGCATGGACTACTGTGAAAATGTGTATCCTTTGTCCCCATATGTGCAGCTTCTCTATGGTAAAAGCTTCCCAAAAAAAATTTGGTCAGGTAGTCCGAGGTAGAAACTAGTATCCAGTACTAATTCTATTCCTTCAGCAGTTCTCTCTGATGCTATTGGCAAGCTTGCCAATTTTTGACTCAGCTTCTACTGCTGTAAAACAAAAATGCGGCAGTGGGCTTTGAGGATTAAGTGAAATGTGAGAATTCCTTAGATGGATGCTGTTTCGTTTGAATGCAAATCAAGTCTCCATTAGTAGTTCTCATTTGACGATTGCTGTAGCACTAAAAATGCCTGTTAAATGTTGTGTCTCCTTTTCTTAAGGTTGATCTGCAGTTGCAAGAAGTAGCTTTGAAAATGAGACAGCTTTAAAGAGAGAAACCTGAATAGAGATCACATTTCTCTGACTGAATTAAATTCTTACTGTGGCTCTACTTTGTGCCATTCGGTGAGCGTGTGTGTTCAAAAATGTTTCACTTCACGTAGAAAAGAGGCATTTATTACAGAGCAGTTGGAAAGAGCATCCTTCCAAGTAACTGGACACTGCTAGTACCACCAGGTGTTCACTTACTGGAAGGCCTGAGGGGTCTTATATTGCCATTTTAATTCTGTTTAACTCTATGCTTCTATTTCCTGTGTGTTTTTACAAGTAAGTAGCAGCTTAGACTCTCGTTCATGAATTCTGATGTAGACAAACTAAAGATAAAGTTTTTTGGAAAAAAAACCAACACCTCAAAACAAAACAAAACCAAAACCCAACCAAATGCTATCCTATCATCTAAGCATTAATTCCGTCCAGGGAGAAAATTGCATGACACTAAGTGATAAATTGCTGAAAATTATCAAACTGCTGATGCAACATTTTGGCTTGTAGTAGTATATGGCATTAACTTCTAAAACCAAACTGTAATATGTCTTTATTTTTCAAATATTCTAAAGTTGCCATGAAGAAATGTCATATTTATTTTCAAAAGAAAATGATGCATTATGGCTCTTCAGAAAGTATATAAGAGAATGAAATAGGAGATTGTTAGATCTAGATAAATACATAATACAGACACATATATGTGTGGGCTAGCTTTCACAGAAGTGCATTTTTTCTGCCTGAAAATTCAGTTATAGAAGGGTCTGTAGGTTTCAGTCACTTATCTGAGAAACTAGGCTGTCAGACTCCCTATAGGAGGTAGCTGCAATCTGATCTTTGATGTGTTTGAAGATGCTGGACATGTTCTGTCTGTATAGATCAGCTTTATGCTGGACATCTGATGTGCACATGTGGAAAATATGACAAGATTGGAATGAACTGGATGCAATGTATGGGCTTTCAGCACATGTGCAGATCCAAGTGTACAACCTTTAGCCAGTAAAGCCACTATTCCCAGATCAGTTGGATACTGTGTACACACGAGCCTATCAGTGCAACACAGAGAGAACATCAGTCCCAGATTCAGCAACCAACTTATTGCACATGGAACATGTACAACCTATTTGAGAAATGCTAGGTACTGTTCTATAATCATACCCCTCTAAAATTTTTCCTGCTCACATCTTTCACGCTCAAGTCACCTGGATAAAGCAAGGGTTAAGCTTCCACCTTTCTTTCTTTCTTTACAGAAAGAAGACTGTTCCACAGTACCTGGGTCCTGGGTAAGAAATCTAGGCAAGAGTTTCCTCATATCTCTTTTAAACTCCTTAGGTTTCCACTGTGGAATTGTCCTCTGGATTGAAAATTAACCTTCTTTTCATTAGGTGTGGTTTTTTAAATCTTAGCCTTCTAGTCTTGTCAACAGCTTTTGATCATCTTTTACATATATGAAAAAATAAGCGTTCCCTTGCTTATTCTTCCAAGAAAACTTATAAGAAAATTATACAGAAAACGGTATAATTTTCATTTCTGATTGGATATATATTTTTTTTAATTTCCTTTCTTGTTTAGGATAATGGAAATGTTCTGTGACTTACATTTGTTTGATACAACCCTTTCTGATCTAGAAGAAAACTAAACTAAGGGAAAGGCAGAAATCTAATAAAAGTACTCTGAGGGCATCTTAAAAGTCAAAATGAAAAATATTTCTATTTAAAATAATTGCTGAAACACATTGATATTGGGGCTTCATATTTTTTTGCTTTTGGTTTCTTTGGTTTTTAAACTAAATGAATATAAATACGTAACTTCCTCTGGATAAATATCCCTGCATTCATATCAAAGCCTTTTTTGCTCATAATGTGCTGTTTTTGTGAAAACCTGGATATGTTGGTGATCATTAGGTACAACACAATAGGAAATCACCAGGTTGTTTGAAATACCTTGTCTTGAGGTCGGCAGAAAAATTGTTTCTTAGGGCATGGGGTAAAACAGTCCCTTTAATTCATCAATACACTTTCATTTCTTGTCTGAATTGCTTATTCAAATCACTTGATTGTCCATTTTCTTTAAACTATAAAATATACTTCATCTCTTGAAAGAAATCTCATGATCTGCAGGGTAAATCATCTTGTAGAACTGTACATTCTAGGTTTTTCCTGTAGTTAAGGCAGAATTTCAGTATTTAAGAATTACCTCTTTTTCTTTTTCAAAGCTGAATCCCATCTCCTGAGTTTACTGAGTTTTTAAAACAGTGAACTGTTTGGAGATCAGCCATCATTAAGGCAAATATCTTCAGAGCTGTTGCATATCATGTCTAATCCTGTTGGCTTCAGCTTGTTTATAGCAGAAATGAATTTGCTGTATCTGTCATAAAACGCTTGGTGGAGTGTTCTTGAAGTGTAAAATGGGAGCTTAGGGGGGAGTTACAGTCTGGGGAAAACTGAATTTGATCTCAGCAGAAAACTGGTGTGTGGCCTTAATAATCCTAGCAGCACATTTCCTTTGATAATGTTGCCTTTTGAAGAATTGATAGGCCTTATTGTATTTGCAGGTGACTGGTAGGGGGATAAGAGCAGATGAAACAAAGGGATAATAGAATATTGCATTTCTCATCTATTAAGAAATTCTTTGACAAAACTGTTGTTGCTACAAAGGATTGAGTTGTTGAGGAAAGCTTAATGGACTGAAGCACCATGAGTAATTTGTAATGTCTTTTTCAGCCTTGTTTTTCTTCCAGTTATACTGTTAATATACCTGCCGTGTTAATTTCTTCATGATTTCTTTTTTTTTTTTTAGTGTTTCTTTCTCTTACATTTCAAAATTTGGTAGGAAGACCTAGTTGTAACTCATAACTATCAGATCCAACTGCTGTTCCAGAAAGGTCAAACAATGTAGGAGATTGCAAGTTTTGATAAAGGTGCTTCAAAATCAAGCAATACGTGGTTTAAATATAGATGTTGCTGGCTTACTTCTGTGATTGCTTTAGGACAGCTGAGAAACTCTGAGATAAATAAGAAACCAAAATTTTATGTTTAAAAAACAATTCTATATCCTGTTCAACTTTCCTAAATAATCACAAATGTCTATTTTTGGACTAGGTTGTTTCTATTGGTACCTTTTGATAAAAGCAGATACCCATTAAATTTAGTGCAGTTTGTTACTGGTACTTATTTTAAAATGTAGGAATTAGTGTGCCTTTTAAAGATAATGGTTCCTCTACTCAGTCTATAGCAGGCAGGATCAGATGTTTCAGAGAAAGAGTTATAAAATGTGAAAAATTTCAAACACAGAATAACTATTCCAGGCAGGAAGACTTTCTAATGTTACTCACTCACAGTCTGTCACTTGGCAGAGGAGTAATAAATTTGGAGTGGGAAGAAAGTTCTTAGTCTTGCCTTCCTTCTTTTCCTTCCCAATCATGCTGTCCAGAGAAAAGCATAAGTACTCTTTGAGATTAGCTCTTTTCCAAAAGTGGACAATTGTGTTCTGCATTCCTGAACTGTGCTGTATCATTCAGGGGTAAGTTGAAACCCAGCACTCAATACTTTGTTGAGTCTGTTATGCAAAGTGCATCCCTTTGGAGAAACATTTGATGTATTTTAAGACATTTTTTCAGATATATTTTAATATTCAGCAGAATTAAAGTAATGCAGAGCCCTCCCACCACCATGTCTCCATATCCATGTGTATGCAAATGATTGGAGTACTTGTGCTCAGTGGTTGGTTGTTTTCTTGGTCAGGGTATGTGTAGGAAGGGACGGATATTTGGTTTTGACAAATATAATTGCAGTCTAAAATGTGCTTGTACTGATGAAGGTAGTGTCATACTGAAGCAAGTAATTTTTCTAAACTGTATTCTTCCACTTAAAATATAGCTAGCCAAAATGATACCTGAGTTTTCAAAGGCTTGTCATAACTAGCTTTTTTTGAACCTCTGGAATACCAGTATTCTTGATCTAATTTGATTATGTTTTTTATGAAGTGATGAACGTTATTTTTGTGTGTGTGTGTGCTTATTATCTATTTTCTTTAAAAGGATGCTTTTGAGGTGAAGTCTGAAGAGCGTGCCAGTGTCATCCAACAACTTGAGCAAACTATTGAGGATCTGAGGACAAAAATTGCAGAACTAGAGAAACAGTTTCCTGCTGCAGAGGTACAGATTGCTGGGAGGGAGCAGGAACATGAGCACACAGTCTGCAGGGAACTCAGCAGTGTGACTCTCCAAACAAATGAAGAGGAGACCACACCCAGGACTGTGTCACAAGCGAGATCTGTACAAACATCACCAACGGAGGATTATTTAACACACACAATGCCTTCAGCCAGTGCACTGCCACAGCCACCCCCCCCACCACACATAGAAGGGGGCAAAAATGAAGGGCCAACTCAGAAATTGCCAGCTCTAGAACTACAGCCCACGTTTTGTTCTGAAATCTCCTTAATTCTGTCACCGAAGCTAATCTCAGTGCCACTGGATGCAAGCCAATCAGTACAGAGTACACTGCAGTCACCTCTTCCGGGACCTAAAGTTGATGTGCCTCTTGGATTCGCAGGAGAGGCTGAAATGCCAGCTTCCCATCGGCCACTAAGTACTGCGGACGTGACTTGTAGTGAACATCCCCCTTCTTTGCCCCCAGAGCCCACATGTAGCATTCCCCCATCACTGCCAGCAACCGAACAGGCTGCCTCCCTGCCTGGAGCATATGGCCCTTCCTTTGTCACTTCCTTGTCCATGGCAGGAGTACCACCCCCACCACCCCTGCCTGGCTCAGGACTCCCTTCTTCTGCTGA